ATGTCTGCAGTCTCTGACCATCTCCTGTACTATGTCTGCAGTCTCTGACCACCTCCTGTACTATGTCTGCAGTCTCTGACCGTCTCCTGTACTATGTCTGCAGTCTCTGACCACCTCCTGTACTATGTCTGCAGTCTCTGACCACCTCCTGTACTATGTCTGCAGTCTATTGTCCATCATCCCTCTGTATACCATCTGTGTGTCTGTGAGCAATGTCTCTGTATATATATATATATATATACTGTATACACACACGCACAGTGCTGTTGGCTCTCCTCCCTGTGTCCGTTACCTGATAGTGTTCGCTGAGGAGTACCATCCCCCCCTCCCCTGGGTTCTCCGAGTGTCACCTGTACTATTGATACCCTGTGTGGGCACCGTGCCCGGCATGGCCTCTGCACACTCGGCCCCTCGCTGTCGCCTCTCATTTAGGTAAACTGCTCAGGAAAATGAACCTCTCATGATGTAAATATCCGTTCTGACGGGTTTTAAAGTCCAAGTATTTCGGCTGCTGTCATCTTCATCCCTCGGCTTCTGTACTCGGGGAATCACTGACTTAGAACAAACATGAAGTTACTAAAGTTTGTGCTTTGAGCCGGTCTCAGCTGTCACTGTACAGTACTCTATGACTTGGAGGTCTGAGCTGTCACTGTACAGTACTCTATGACTGGGAGGTCTGAGTTGTCACTGTACAGTACTCTGTGACTGGGAGGTCTGAGCTGTCACTGTACAGTACTCTATGACTGGGAGGTCTCAGCTGTCAATGTACAATACTCTATGACTGGGAGGTCTGAGCTGTCAATGTACAGTACTCTGTGACTGGGAGGTCTGAGCTGTCACTGTACAGTACTCTATGACTGGGAGGTCTCAGCTGTCACTGTACAGTACTCTATGACTGGGAGGTCTGAGCTGTCACTGTACAATACTCTATGACTGGGAGGTCTGCGCTGTCACTGTACAGTACTCTATGACTGATGGGTCTCAGCTGTCACTGTACAGTACTCTATGACTGGGAGGTCTCGGCTGTCACTGTACAATACTCTATGACTGGGAGGTCTGAGCTGTCAATGTACAGTACTCTATGACTGGGAGGTCTGAGCTGTCAATGTACAGTACTCTATGACTGGGAGGTCTGAGCTGTCGCTGTACAGTACTCTATGAATGGGAGGTCTGAGCTGTCGCTGTACAGTACTCTATGACTGGGAGGTCTTAGCTGTCACTGTACAGTACTCTATGAATGGGAGGTCTGAGCTGTCACTGTACAATACTCTATGACTGGGAGGTCACGGCTGTCACTGTACAGTACTCTATGACTGGGAGGTCTTAGCTGTCACTGTACAGTACTCTATGACTGGGAGGTCTCACCTATCACTGTACAGTACTCTATGACTGGGAGGTCTCACCTATCACTGTACAGTACTCTATGATTGGGAGGTCCCGGCTGTCACTGTACAGTACTCTATGATTGGGAGGTCCCAGCTGTCACTGTACAGTACTCTATGAATGGGAGGTCTGAGCTGTCACTGTACAATACTCTATGACTGGGAGGTCACGGCTGTCACTGTACAGTACTCTATGACTGGGAGGTCTTAGCTGTCACTGTACAGTACTCTATGACTGGGAGGTCTCACCTATCACTGTACAGTACTCTATGACTGGGAGGTCTCACCTATCACTGTACAGTACTCTATGATTGGGAGGTCCCGGCTGTCACTGTACAGTACTCTATGATTGGGAGGTCCCGGCTGTCACTGTACAGTACTCTATGACTGGGAGGTCTCACCTATCACTGTACAGTACTCTATGATTGGGAGGTCTGAGCTGGGTCATGTGTTTGCTGTGATCAGTGTACATGTGATATACATTTTATATTTATAACACTCTGTTGTATACAATGTTTCCTCCCGGCGCGCAGACACGTGGAGTGATGTGCGGAGTGATTGTAGAAGTTCCATCACACACACCCTCCCCCCCTCCCGACTTTCATCATCTTCCTTTGTGAACTGTGTGGTTTTGCTGTAGCACATGTAGCCGGCCCCGCCTCCCATTCATTTTACTCTCAAAGGCCCCTCCCCTCCGCATGCTGTCAGTGTTACATCAGCCTGCACGCTGCACAGCGAAACCGGTTCATTCTGGAGATCGGCTTCAATAGAATGCTGTGACATGGGGGCCGCTTTTCTGTGATGGACCCCGCCGGGTCTTTTGTCAGCCCCTCCCTCCGTCTGTCACCAGATTCTGGTGTCTTCAGTGCCGCCGATCAGCCATTGGTTGTTGTTTTTTATGATCTCGCACATTTTCTTTTGTGTCTTCTTTCATTCAGTAACATTCATTATCAGAAAAATGTAAGTGAAAACATGAAAAGATCGGACAATGTGAAAAAAAATCCTTTTCAATGATCCTCTGATCAGCTTTAGAGATGGAGGAATGACGGGATCAATACATAAAAGAAATTGATACAGTGCCGATCGTCCAATCCATTCTTTCCGATCCGACATATATCAAAATTGATGAAAAAGAATAACATACAGAAGCGGTCACATGACCTTTCTTAGATGCATTAACAATATTGATTGATAAAAGGATCACATTATAGATTGTATGGGCATCCTCAAGGCGATCCTA